CAAGAATAAAGAAATAAGAATACCGAATAAAGAAGAAGTATTTTTGGCTCATTTCCTAGAAGTGTCTGAAACCTAAAGACCAAATACCTGATACTTATGGGCGTGCTGGCTTCCGCAATGATCCTATACCTAATGCGTCAAACTGTAAGTTCACAATAGCTATTACTAATAATCAGTAGATAGAGAATATATTTCACTTGTCAGTTGTTCCTATATGAATGAATAATCAATTGAACAAATCAGCCAATTTCCTACGCTTGTAGAAAAAGTATTGTTCCTAACTCATGCGGAAAGTGTTTTTCCCGCACTCGGCGACTGCTTGCCCGAACTCCGCTTCGCATCGTTCGTGTCAACGGCAGTCGCGTGCAGGAAAGAATCACTTTCCGCACTTGTTAGGAAAATTTCTAGTTCCTAACTCATGCGGAAAGTGTCTTTCCCGCACTCGACAGCTTGCCCCAACTCCGCTTCGCGTCGTTCGTGTCAACGGCAGTCGCGTGCGGGAAAGAATCACTTTCCGCACTTGTTGAGAAAATTACTATTTTATGACGGGAAAAATGTTTGATAGTTTATCTCTGTTGACGGGTTATAAAATGTCACTTTTCATAAATTTATTTCCTACTGTAGGTATGTCTTTTGTTTTACTAGTTCCGAAAAATAAGCCAATAAAACCTTCTCCGAAACCACAATTTTCTAAAATCATATCACGGAATTGAAAGGACAGATATCTGATGGAGATGCTTGCAAATAGATGTTTGCAACGGAGATATAATTCCTCTTAAAAATTTCAAAATTTCACGTCGACAGTTATCTGATTTTGATATAGTGTAATATCTTCTCAATATTGATTCTTCCTTCTTCCTGTCACGGAAAAAAATGGTGTATTGAACACGAGAAAAGTCACGGTTTTTTGTGTTTTGTGTGTTTGTGTTATGACAACACAACCTGGAGCTGACATCTACTCCTTTTTGTCTTTTGTAATGATTAACTATTTACTGTGACGTAAAAAAATTAACATTGTATCTCTGATTCGGGGGCGGGGGGGGGGGGTTCAATGTCATAAAAATCATTCAATCTTGTGATAAATTTTTCACAGTAATCATGAATGCTGATCATTCGTGGAATAGTCTATCAGAAGACCGCTCTCGTTTGGCTACACAATTTCGTGAATAGAAACACCGACAAAATCATATCGAATCATTCAGAACGTTGTATTACTCATCACAATATACAGTGTGTCCCACTTACCATGCTCACCATGGGTATCTTTTTAACGGTGAGAGATACGAGGTCGGTTAAATGACACCAAATGTGGAGTTTGTCGAGGCCAACTATAATGTGAAAAAATATTTTGATAAAATCTATTCGTTTTTGTTTCATAGACAAAAAACAGATTTTGATCATTTTCATGTCATCTCCGTAACTTCTTTATTTATGGAAATATTCAAATAGGAATTTCACATTCTCATGACAGTTTTTCAAAGTGATTTCGAAAAAGAAATTAAATTTATACCAACTCTCCTAGAATTTGAGATATCAGCACCAACTTTAGTTTTTCGAATGTAGGTCTTAGCTCACTATGACTTAGTTACTAATAACTGTTTTTTCTCTTACAGATGATATGTCGCAGTAATAGTTTTGTGTTGATTACAACGGAGTTATCGTCATTTATACAAAAACAAAAAATTATTTGGAAGCCGCCATCTTGAATTTATGAATTTTAACAGAAAAATCATGATCTCCGACCTCGAGAACCCTCACTCACCAATTTTGAATGGAATCGGACCTAATCTTGTACGTCATCTTGGAGCAGCCATTTTTTTAAATTTCAACAAAAACTCCATAACTCCGATCAACTTGAAATTTGGCAGGTGTTCATAATTTCGGTGACTAAACATTATGAAATTCTTGTTGAAATTAAAAAAAATGGCTGCTCCAAGATGGCGGACAAGATTAGGTCCGATTCCATTCAAAATTGGTGAGTGGGGGTTTTCGAGGTCGGAGATCATGATTTTTCTGTTGAAATTTATAAATCCAAGATGGCGACTTCTAAATAATTTTTTGTTTTTGTATAAATGACGATAACTCCGTTGTTATCAACACAAAACTATTACTGCGACATATCATCTGTAAGAGAAAAAAAAGTTATTTGTAACTAAGTCATAGTGAGCTATGACCTACATTTGAAAAAATAAAGTTGGTGCTGATATCTCAAATTCTAGAAGAGTTGGTATAAATTTCATATTTTTTTCGAAATCACTTTGACAAACTGCCACAAGAATGTGAAATTCCTATTTGAATATTTTCATAAATAAAGAAGTTACGGAGGAGACATGAAAATGATCAAAATCTGTTTTCTGCGTATAAAACGAAAACGAATAGATTTTATTAAAATATTTTTCCACAATATAGTTGGCCTTGACAAACTCCACATTTGGTGTCATTTAACCGACCTCGTATCTCTCACCGTTAAAAAGATACCCATGGTGAGCATGGTAAGTGGGACACACTGTATACTTAAAGCAACAGTGGGATAATATTCTAATCACTGATTTCCTGTTGGAATTTTTTAGCAGCAAGAAATAATACTTGACACTTATTCACAGAGAAATCATGAATGTGATGACAATAATTATACTCGTCATTGAATGTATGATTGTTTAATTGTGAGAACACACTTTCATTTTACAAAAAGAATGAGTATAGGTACGTTTGGAGACAGCTCTTGAGCTGAATCTACGACCAATGTAGGAACTATAATCACAGAAGAATGTTAGGAATCAGTAATCCTAACAACTAAGAACGCAAGGCGCAAAAATCATTCTTACAAATCCCGTTTTTATGATTTCAGAAAGAACTCTATTATCCTTGCAGTAGTACAGAAGTACTGGAAGGATCGCAATAATATTCATCAAAAAATATTATCATGACTGGAATATGCTAATGATTATGGCTTATCTTTCTTGGCATTCATCATTTAATTTTGAGAAAAATGGAGAGAAAAACCAATTTTTCTGGCAATCGTCTGAAATAATATGACAATTTGTAATAATATAAACAAAATCAGAATCTCTATAGGATTTCGCTAGGTTACACCAATGCTTGAAGTTGATATAAAAGATATAAAGGTTCCTAATTTTGTAGTACGGATATCATCAATTATAATAGTCTGAGAGCCGGCTGCAAATTTCGACAGTCATTTGATAACGAAATGACATAATATGTCCCAACGACATGTGAACACATTGTATTTTATCTTACAGCACCTGTGCCACCCACAATCTTGAGAAAAATGATTGAAAAATGGCACTTTCCTGTGCGGTAATTTGCACATAACTTCGCGATTTGATAACGAAATGAGGATTATGCTATCCGATACCAATTCAATGATAAACCGCATATATCTACCTGTGCCACCACTCAATCTGAGCCAAATCGATTTATTTGCTGCAGTTATTCCGTCATATGATAACGAGTTGAAACAAAAGGTAAATGAAAGGGGATAATGTTCCCTTTGCGAACAACCAAACGTGCCGCGATTCAAACTGAGCTGAGTTAGTGGCAGACCGTCAGTATTTCCGAGAATATTTCACTCCTCTCGGAAGATAATATCCGATGGACCAGTGTAAATCTCAACACTAACTTGTTGAGTTTTACATTGGTCCATCGGATATTATCTCTTGACAGGGCCAAAATATTCTCGGAAATATAACTATAACATATACAGGGTGATCCACGGTGGATGGCCTATCAGAAGTATCTGGAGAACGAGAAGACAGAACATTCTGAAAATTGAGATAATTGAACATTCTCTATCCGTCTGAAATATTTGCATCGATACAGTGTTGCCACTTCTATCAGAAACAACTAGCAACTTTGTTATTTCAAATGGAACACCCTGTATTTTATTGCATTTTTGAGATTCTTCCTGAAGAGCTGATTTCATCAATGTATCATACTTGGGGTCTGGCAGGAATGATTACAGAGAAATAGGGTGTTCAAAATCGAGATTTTTCAATTTCAGGATTTTTTTGTGTCGAAACTATTCATTATCGATCAAAACGACTTACATGTCCCTATCTCAACTTTTGATTCACTATCTACTGGAATTTGATTGGAAAAAATACAGGGTGCTTCAAGATTCAGATTTCTGATCACCCTGTATCTGTTCCAATCAAATGTTAGTAGATAGTGAATCAAAAGTTGAGATAGGGATATGTGATCCGTTTTGATCGATAATGAATAGTTTCGGCGCAAAAAAATCCCAAAATTGAAAAATCTCGATTTTGAACACCCTACATCTCTGTAATCATTCCTGCTGGACCCCAAGTGTAATGCATTGATGAAATCAGCTCTTCAGGAAGAATCTAAAACTGCTATAAAATGCAGGGTGCTCTATTTGAAATAACGAAGTTGCTAGTTGTTTCTGATAGAAGTGGCAACACTGTATCGATGAAAATATTTTAGACGGATAGAGAATGTTCAATTATCGAAGCATTCAGATTTTCAAAATGTTTTGTCTTTTCGTTCTCCAGATACTTCTAATAGGCCATCCACCGTGGATCACCCTGTATAACATATAACTTTTCGTTATCAGATGATGGTCGAAATTCACAGCAGACTCTCCTACAATAATAAAATGTGTTTTACTGATGATCCGATAAGGTTGCTAGAAAAGCAGTCTGAATCAGCAGTATATTTCGGAATCTAAAAGGAAACTACCACCTTGACATCAACTCTCTCCCTACAATTACCAAATGACCAGCCAAATTAATAGACTCACCTCCACTAGGTAACGGATCTCCGCCATGCAAATGCAATACTCCTCCTCCTCCCCCATGTCCACCTCCGCCTCCATAGCCACCTCCACCTCCATAACCACCTCCTCCATGGTGACCTCCTCCTCCTCCTCCATGACCGTGACCGTGACCTCCTCCAACATTCAGCACGACAGTGTGGGCTACTCCGCTACCGCCACCGTAACCTCCTCCGCCTCCGCCGCCATGGTGATCGTCGTGACCTCCTCCGAAGCCTCCTCCAAAGCCTCCTCCGAAACCTCCACCGCCTCCGCCGCCATGATGATCGTCGTGACCCCCTCCGAAGCCTCCTCCGAAGCCTCCTCCGTAACCTCCTCCGCCTCCGCCGCCATGGTGATCGTCGTGACCTCCTCCGAAGCCTCCTCCGAAGCCTCCTCCGAAACCTCCTCCGCCTCCGCCGCCATGATGATGGTCGTGGCCTCCTCCGAAGCCTCCTCCTCCTCCATAACCTCCTCCATGGCCTCCTCCTCCACCACCGTGGACTTCGTGGACTATCTCTTTATGGTGATGGGTCTCTTCGGATGGAAGATGTACTCTGATATGGACACTGCGGAAAAAAAATTAATTCTGAACTGAATTCAATTGTGGAATTAAGAATTATGAGTGATCGAGATATATCAGATGAACAAGGTTTTCAAACCAATGTCGTCGCTATTCCTAACATGGTATTTATTGAAGCTACCATTTCAGTTTAAGGGGCAAACTAGTGGTATCTTTCCCGCTGAGTACACGATGACGAAAACGTTGAATTGGACACACAGTATACATTATGCTTAATCGATAGGAAACTCGACTCTGAACAAAAACTGTCTCATAATCTTTTTTCTCCGATTGGCAGCAAATATTTATTTTGCTGACACATATCAATTAGCAAAGTATTACTTTTCCTGCCTAGGCAGCAAAGCATGTATATGCAAAATTAATAATCCATAGATCGTTTATAATTTCCTTCATATTTCATCCGAGACTTCTCCGGCAACAAATTCAACTCTATATTTTTTGCCACCTCCCTCATTTTTGGAGGTGTAAGTACTTCCAGGTCGCTATCACTGTCCATTATATAATTATTTAAATAATCCGATATTTTTTCGCTCAACTGTCAGATATTTCATGAATTGTCAAACTATAGTTATTAAGGACATTTCCATAGCAACCAACCATTCCAACAACTGCGATTTGTATCAAATTTTATTTTAATTGAACATTACAAGTAAAATAAAGAGATATATATCATTATGAACAATCGGAGAAAAAATCATATGTTCAACTCGGCAGTCAATCTACTACTTTGCTGCCTAGTTAAACAAATAACTATTATCTGATATTCGAAAATGACTGAGCTATCGATGATTTTCCAAAGTGATTCTGTTAGTCGAGGATGGTCGAGGTATTACTTGTAACTTTGCCTTACTCAAGTAATAAATAGTACTATGAAAAACTAAAGGAACACCTTTTTATAGATAGCCAAACTGAAAATGAGTAGGAGATAAAATAATAAAAGTGTGTTGATAAATACACAACACAAAAAATATTAGAATCTCCGTAATAATTAGGTACAGTTGAAAACAATTGAGAAGTCGTAGTTGGCAGATGATTATAAAATATGGTCTGGATGGTATGGGGGCCCAGGTATATTAATTTTGAAAAACCCATCTTGATAGGTTTTTGTTGCATTATTTACATTCAATGACACAGACTACAGAAAAATATAATTTTTTCTACGGCTATAACAGAAAATTGCTCTTGTTTTACTGTGTTCGATATATCAATGAGGTACCTTGTATGTCATCAATTGTATTTCCGTATCTGATATCACAAGGACTACATTGTGTTGATATTTAAAAAAAAACTCATTATTCATGGAAACTCAAATTTCAAGCACTGACAGCTCTGTCTAAAAGATGAGCATTACATGAGAGAAAATCAGGCTACAAGACGAAGAAATCAGAAATGCCGCTGTTATCTGTTACAGCCGTAGAAAAATTATAGTGTATAACTCGCACAGAATGCTTATTTCCCAATCGATTGATTGCAGCATTCGCCTAAACTTCATTCTTGTAGGAAATCACTATCATTCCTTGCTCTTTAAACAATATACTGTTTTGAAACTTTCAAGGCGTAGGTATTTTCAGAACTGAAATATATTCAGAATTGGGACTTCAATAAAGCAGGGCTGAACCCATAGGAAAATTGAATCAATCAATCATCTTCCACGAGAGTTGCTTCAACAATCCAAGGACGCACTGCATGATACCTATATTATTATAGTTTCAGAATCATCATCAATTCATATGAAGTCTATCAAAAATATTCATATGATATACTAACTCAAAAAATATACTGTGAATTATCCCTTTGAGTGACTAAATATTATGATATATGGATGTGACTTAATCTACTGAGTGAAATATTTTATATCAGATGTTTTAACAATTTTTCCCAATAATGAACATGTTTTTGAATCGAATTTGATTGAATTAGCTCATAAATTACTATTTTACACTTTCAAATAGAGCTAATGTTCAACTCAAACGGACGTGGACCAAAATTGAGACAATATTGAGTGGACCTAGAATCAAATTTCACGACCTTTTTTTTTCAGTGTGATTAGGTAACGTTCTTTGATTATATCTTGTGAGAAATTCACTATTATTGAACGTTATCAGAGTAAAAGTATCCATTATTTCGATTATGGACAGGGTGATAATTTGCAGCAAACACAAAATGATTACAAAAATTTGAGATATTGCGAATTGAAAAGCAAAAATGTGCCAATTTGGCGTAAAGTTTCCGATTTTTCGGGCCACCCTGTACTAATTTCGATTTAGCTACTTACTGCTCTTTTCCGAATGTGGCAGCACTGTGAGCGACCAATGCTGTCAACCCCAGCAGCACCTAAAACAAAACAAACACTTTTTCGAGAACTAATAAAATCATTGTGATGATATATATCTAATGACAAAACAACTCCTTTTTTGCCTGATACCACACAATATTGAATTGTCTCTGTGAAATATAATATTGGAAATAGCTAATATGAGAAAATGAAAGTATATAGAGATCAATACATATAATTCTTTGAATATCTAATAGCAAACAACTTCTTTTCTGGGTAATATCACAGAACATTGAATTGAATGTAGGTACCGAGATATAATATATCAAATTTTGGAAAAATATATTGTATATTCTAATTCTATTTTTAACTCCCAATATTTGATAGATATAATTCAATATTCTATGGTATTAGCCAGAGCAATAGTTGTTTTCTGTTAGATATTTCAACAATGACTATTTTTATTTTCAAAATTACTCATTTAAAATCAAGGAATTATTTGTACGATGGGAAGTAATCTGATAGTAGATCTTATTCAAACGAATTACAATCAACGCAGAATATTCCACAATCATGATATTATATTGAAATATGAACAATTCACTGTGTATATTGTGATATCTGATAAGGGGAAGTTTTTGTGACTGTTCTATAGATTATATTATTGGGAATATTCGTGGGAAGCAGTCGAATGTGACCAATATCAATCAGATCTCCTCGTTATTTGTCGAGTTTTCGAAAATGTTTATTTTCTTCATCAATACTTTCCAGAACATCGAATGAACAATAATGTTTATATATAAATTTATGAACATCGATAAAATAGGTATACTTACTAACATGAAATATTATATAAAATCAGCAATAAAGAAAACATATGTGTATAAATAAAATGAAATGATGTGACAAAAAAATGTCATAGGTGATGGTTGACTAATTCATATAAAGTTGAATATTCAGAGTGAGATGAATACTTGACAAAACATTTGGAATATAATATGTTATTGTAGATTGTATATAAAATATGGATCATTTTAATTATACACATATGTTTTCGTTTTGTGCTGATTTTATATAGTATATTTATATAGAACATTCTTATATTGACATTATTGTTCATTCGATGTTCTAGGAAGTCTTGATAAAGAAAATAAACATTTTCGACAAATAACGAAGAAATCTAACTGATATTGGTCACATTCGACTGCTTCCCACGAATATCGGCACATCAAAAACAAACACTGTCAACCCCCCGGAAGAAAACAACCCTGAAAACCCCACTCACGAGAAACTTGGAAGCCATCTTCTTCCGACCTCCTCAGCCACCGCAAAAAGCCTTCGATGAACCGTTAGTTTGTGATCGACCCACCCCGAATCCCATCGGTTTTATAGCGAAGACATCTCCAGGTGCTCCCGTGTGGGGGAGATTTCCTCTGGTGATGGCCCTGACCCACACAGTTGGGGCAAGAAGCAAGCAAGAGTGAAAGAGAGGTCGACGAACACAGAATGATGGTGGAAGCTGCTCTTGAATTCACTTTCTTCAATCGTTGGTCGTTTCACACGCGCGAAAATTCCGATCGATATGATCGAGCGATTACGCAAGGTCAGAGGAAGTTTTTTGTTGCTTTTATTTCGAAATCGGAACTAGAACATTAATTAATCAGACAGCACCATGTGGAGTAAAGTGTGGTATTAATTTGATATTTCTGTTCTGCAGGTCACTTTCTTGAGGGATTGTTTATTTTTGGATGTATGATAAATTGAAATTCATTATACAGGACATGGAAAGGAATTCTGAATTGAGAAAACCCAATCACGAATCTGCGATTGGGGTCTATAAAAATAACAAGTTTCCATCGTTCAAGTATTGAAAAGAAATAGCTACAGACATTACTTATGTTGTTTGATATTTTTTCCTTGAGATTTTTTCCACAATGAACAATAAACAATCCTATTGAAAAGGATTATTTTCTGATATAATTATGAACACAAAAAAATAGATATATATATAAGGAAATACATTGAGAATTCGCATTCTCCATGTGATGAAAATATTAGTTCTTTCTCGGTTTATTCAATAGAAAACAACTACTTTTCTGGCTATTTGCCACATCGAACATTGAATTATATCTGCTGAATATCCGAGAAGAGAGCATGAGAAATCAAAATCCTCTGAAATTGAGAATTGACATTATCTCTTAAACCGAATAGAATAATATGATGTATTTTGATATGAAAATATAACTTACCAATATGTTCAGTATTGCAATGAAGATTGAAATGAATAGGAGAAGTATACTTGTATGAACTCTGTTTGTTAGAGATATACTTCCCATATCACTGATACGAATGCTTGTTTTTTAAGTTCCAAGCTCATCAAGATCAGAGTTCATACAATTATACTCAGACTTGTGTAGTATTCGAATACCCAGTATTCTGAATCCTATTCAGAATACATTTGGCTGGTATTCGAATACTATTCGAATACATTTGTGCATGTGGTATTCGGTATTCGATTGAATACTTTTCTGGTCAGTACTCGGTATTCTGGATTCTGAATACCGTTTTTGAATCTCAGTATTCAAATACCCACTTTGTATTCGAATCCTGGTATTCGAATCCTGGTATTCGAATCCTGTATTCGAATCCCGTTATCCAAATCCTGGTATTCGAATAATCCTGTTTTCGGATACTTTTCGATTATTTCTATGAATATTGCGTTACGTTTAAACGGAGCCGTCGCTATATATTATTGGTCGATCATATATTGCCACGGCTCCGGCTCGCAACTTGAGCACTTGAGCATGTTCAAACATATATTTTATTAGTTCCTATGTTTTATTTGAAATGGAATGAATTTCATTTCAAGTTTTATTTATTATTTGAGATTATTTTCCATTATGATCTTGCTGAACAATTATTTTTTGTTACCTTACTGTTATATCCAATGTACCAAATTACTTTATTTTAAGTTGCATTCATTAATTGAATATCGTTTTATTTTGAATAATTCTTCAAATAAAACTGGGAAATAAAAGTTAATAAATGTTTTTTATTCAACCTCATTGTGGCACTTTGTATCAAAAACTTATTCATCAAGTTTTATTTAATATAGATTTTCTATTTTTTTTATATATTTTTATAAATTAACTACATACATGAATATAAACTAGCTTTATGTGCCAAATGTTTTTTTTTCAGTTGGAATATTCATAAAATATTCATATGTGAATGAATCCAGGTATTCGAATACATCAGTATTTGAATACTTTTTTTTCTTTGTATTCGAATCTTGAGTATTCGAATACAATTTAGAGTACAGTATTCAGGATTCGTATTCGAATACTGGATTTCAGTATTCGACACAAGTCTGATTATACTTCTCCTACATGAATTTAAATTTCCATTTCAATACTGAACATATTGGTAAGTTATATTTTTATATCATTATACATCATATTCTATTCGGTTTGAGAGATAATGTCAATTCTCAATTTCAGAGGATTTTGATTTTGCAAGCTCTCTTTTTGGATATTCAACAGATATAATTCAATTTTCGACGTGGGAAATAGCCAAGACAGTAGATATTTTCTGTTGAATATTCAGAATGATATTATGTGCACATCTTTATATGAAGCAGAATGCAAATTCTCTACTTCAGAAAATTTCGTTTTCAAATTTTTATCGTGTGTTCAATAGATGTAATTCAATGTTCGTCGTGGCATATAGCCAGGAAAGTAGTTGTTTTCTGTTGAATGAACCGAGAAAGAATTAATATTTTCATCACATGGAGAATGCGAATTCTCAATGTATTCCCTTATATATTTATCCATTTTTTTGTGTTCATAATTATTATAGCAGAACATAATCCTTTTCAATAGGATTGATTATTGTTCATTGTGGAAAAAATCTCAAGGAAAAAATATAAAACAACATGAGTACTGTCTGTAGGTTAATCGAGGAGGTGGTACATGGATTTTTCCAGATTTTTTGGGATTTTCTCTCCTCGTTTCTATAAAATGAAAATATGAATATTATTTCAATATAAACGTGTAGATGATTTGTCACAAAATGTCGCACTGCGTTTAGAGAATTTTCCTATCAGAGAGCCTAAAAGCAAAATCCACTAGCTTTTCAGTGACTATTTGTATTGAAAAAGGTTCGGAAAGAGAAATGAAGGTATAAAGAAAAAAAATCAAATGTTCACATCAGGCTCTCGACGTTTCGGCAACGAATCTGCTCCCGTTTTCAACATACAAAATGGTTATTTGAATAGCAAATTCGTATTTGTCTTGATACTTTTTAGTTTCCAGTGACAATTGGTGACGTTGCCAATCAAATGAGTTACAGGATGTTTTCATCAATCAATCTTAAATTTACCATTCTAATTTTCAGATTTCAGTTGTGAATACCATGTTATATCTATATCAACTGAACAGAAAGCAATGCTATTGTCTCCGTTCAGAAGAATGCCAGCAAATTTTTGATTTTCTCTTTTGGTCCTCATCCTCTTTTCCAATGATTTTAATATTATTCCACTCTGCCATATGTTGTCCATCTTCAGTAAGGATATGTTCAGCTTGGTTCGATTTGTCGATATGCCTTTTCTTCATATTTTACATATGTTCCTTTGTCCTTATACTGAGAGAGGTCTCTTGGTTTCACCTATATAAATCTTTCCACAAACTGAAAATACAATGAAATCAATTCTAACTCAAACAAAGCCAAAAAATGGAGAACAATCGTCAAAAAATTGTATCTATAGTATACCTTGTGTTTGTGGAAAGTTTTATGCAGGTGAAACCAAGAGGCCTCTTCCAGTAAGGACGAAGGAACATATAAGTACAATATAAAGAAAAAACACATCGACAGCTGAACATATTCCTACTGAAGATGGACAACATATCGCAGAGTGGAAAAATATTAAAATCATGGGAAAAGAAGATAACAACCAGAAGAGCAAAATCAAGAAATCTGCTTGCATTCTTCTGAACGGAGACAATAGCATTGCTTCCTGTTCAGTTAATAGAGATAGAACATGGAATTCACTACTGCAATCTAAAAATGAAAATAGCAAATTCAAGATCAATTAATGTAAACATCCTGTAACTCATTTGATTGCCAACTTCACAAATTGTCACTGAGAGCTGAAAAGTTTCAAGACGGATTTGCTATTAAAATAACGATTTTTCATGTTGAAAACAGGAGCAAATACGTTTCCGAAACGTCCAAAGCTGAGTGAAAATTTGTAATTTTCTCCAAACCTTTTTCAATACTAATTGTCACTGACAAGCTAGTGAGAATTTCTCTTTAAGGCTCTCTGATATATACTACACGTATATATTAAAATAATATTCATATTTTTATTTTATAGAAACAAGGGATGAAAATCTCAAAATTATCTGGAATAATGAACATAGGTACGTTCAAATATTCAAGTGACGTAATTCTGAGACAATTTAAAAAAAGCTATAATATAAACTTGTGCATTTCCGGTTTTGGCATCAGATCTTTTTTTCATTATTTCACTAATTCACTAATGAATATACCAATGACATGTTTCTTGGCATTATCAATTCTGATGATTTCAGAAAAGAATGGACCAGGCTTAAAACTTTATATCACTTGATTCACTTAGCAAACGCTCGACAACAAGTATTCATTCAATAAGACAATTATTCTTGTGTAGTAGTTCATACTCAAAGGGAAGTGGAATGATCAAGAAATAAAACTCGAAGTCGTCTCCACAAGTTTAATGTTGAAAGAGATGCAGTCAATCCTGCTTCAATAAGGTTTGAGACATGTTTAAGCCATTCAAATGACCATCTTCAGTCAGAATCAAAGTGTATGTGGATAATTTTTCGAACATCGTGAAGGCGAAAAAAGGAGGAGAAATCTTTATCTTAATACTCCATTTAAAATGAATTTGGTGTGACTTTAAATGTTACGTGAATGATACGTGGTGATAATGACTAAATCATATTCGAATGATCTTATACTATACTGTGATATGTTCCAAAACGAATTGATAAACAGATTTCTAGATTTTTAACTACTTAATCGAAGTCTTCAACTCAACCCTGTATATTCTTTAACTTTCTAATTAACGCACTGTTGATTTTTTAAGCTCATCACTGATCATAAATATAAGATATATCAGTAGTTCTAGATCTCTATTGTATCTGCATTGAGATTTTTTTACATACAAACCAATTTCCTGATCCACATAATCAATCATATTCAATCTCAAAGTGCAATCGTTTGAATTAATGAATAAGAATTACGACAAAGTTATTCATTATCTGAATATATCCTTATTTTTTCTCACGAAGTTACATGGGTATA